ATCTATGCAACACCAGGCAGAACACACTGTGACCAGCAGGTAGGATTATCTAGCGCAGGCTGAGCATCATGAGGAAACAGAATCTTGCAATCGTGGTGGGATTGTTGTGATATTTCTGCAGTTATGTGGCTGTATGCTGCAAGGCATCAGTTCAGTGTCGTCCACTGCAATAACAGTCCTAAATCAGGTCATAAAAGGGACCTACTGTAGAGAAATGAGGATTAGACATGAACTGGTATGATTTTAGTAGACTGTTGTTTCCCAGTTTAAGCAGCACAATTAATAATGGATTCACATAGTTAAAATTACTTAAATTTTTCATTACTGTTTTATAATGCTATTAATATTAATAATTAATACTGAAGGCAGGTGTTCCTCGATTGATCACATATATTAAATTGAACTTACACTCTTGAAACTCTTTTTCTCTTGAATAGACATTCTGAAGTCATCAATCACTTTTCATTTGAGAATTTGTAAATTATCCTTATTTAAAAGTTGCATCTAAAAACAAAAACATAGTGGGGGGAAAAAGCTGCATTAAATGTCATGTAAGTGGATTTCCAGTTACTCATGCACTGTAGGTGGTCCAAGCTGTCTTTTGTACTTGCCAGTTGCTGTTGTCTTTAATTTTTTTGTTTTCACCAGCTGCAGCAGACCTACAGGATTTCACACAGAACTCCATAGCATCTAGAGGAGGGGGTTTTGCACGAAAAAAAAAAAACACTTAAAGAGCAGAGAAGGCCATTTAATTTGGATAGGAGGAAGTGAAAAATAGTGGTAAGGGGGTGTGGATTGCAGTCTGCTGCCAAGAGATTACATCAAAGAGAGATCAGTTGCTTTAATGAAGAAGCCCAGCAGCTTGGGAGTGTTTGTCCAGTTAAGAAGGGCACATATGGATCATAGAAAAGCAGGCTGTGTCTTTGTTGTGGAATGGTCAATCAGCTGATCAGAGCACCTTACTGTAATTATAAAGTACTGATTAATGGTACTACAATGGCATTTGAATTTGCACGTGTTGAAAACAAGCAAGTAGCATTATTTAAAAGTATTAACGTAATAAAAAGCTCATGGAAGGCTGCCATGTGGAAGACATTTGTATTTAAGACTGTATGACCCTGGATGTTAACATACAACACTTATTAGATTAAAAGGAAACCTGATTCGACCTGAGCAAGCTTAATACTGTCTCCATCTGAGGAACAATGCAACCAGATTCAGGATTTATTAACAGAATACTTTTTAGTTCTGTTGTGCTCAAATTGTTGATGGATTGAAATACCAAGTGAGGCAGGAATTACTGAAAATTAAAATCCTTTTGATTAAACCTTTGCCTCTTGTATACATAATGGTGTTTTTCTCAGTTTTGCTTCATAAATCTTAAAATGCACTTTTGAATGTCTCACAGTATTGTTGAAAATAAGGGTGATTTACTGATCCTTAGTGCCAGAATTGGCCACCTAATTAAAATAATATAGTCCAGAATTAGAGCTGATAACGATCTATGAAACCGGTGGTTTAAGCCATAATTAATAGTTACCTACAAGGAACCTTTAAAAAATAGTATTCCTAACCTTGTGCAGTGATTCCGTGAAATATAGGGACCTTTTAAAAGAAATTAAACCAATAACCCTGAGGTTTGATGGTACTTAAAGGTGCTTCATTGAGCTCTGATGTCACAGGCAATTGCCATGGCTATGTCAAAGCAATTACAGAGAAAAGTCAATGAATGTGAAACTAAGGTCAATTCAATTCCCCCATGTAACCCTACTTGTCCAGAGTGATCAGATGTGTGCATCAGAGTCATTGGTCTTACTTTGGTGACAGATGTTTTTAGGTTGTATAGCAGAGGTAACCAACCCTGGTCCTGGAGAGCCCCAGTCTAGAAGGTTTTAGAATTGACCATTAAATCACCAGACATGAAGTAATTTTGTGATCAGTTAATCAGGAGATTATTTGACTTTAGAGTACTTTAGAGTTTGGTTTGGGACCAAAATCTCAAATGTCTTTGTTCCCATTTTTTGCAAATAAGTAAACTGTAAATTGATTGGGGGTTTCCAGGATCAGGATAGCAGACCACTGTAGCACTGAGCTGGCTGACACATTCTGGTTCTCATAAACAGTACTCATACATTATAGTTGTACTGAAATGCAATGGCATGTTTTTACAGGGATTCTTTTCATAGCTCCAAGGGAGTCGTATTTGGCAGCAACATCAGCAACCATTTTTGTACTTTAACCTGCTGATTTTTTTAATAGATGTTCTTATTTTCAGTGAGTCCTGAAGCAGTATGATGTTGTAGGGTACATACCATACAGTAATTGCACATACAATTGCATAGCAGTCCTGCAATATTTGCATAATTAACATTATCTTCTTTTTTTGATTCTTGGATGCCTGTACAAGGACATTTGTAGATCCATCCCCAGCTGCCCTCCCATATATGATTTTGATGCATTCGGAGCAGGGAGATGGGAGCAGACCCAGAGCGGAGCTGGTGGACAGCAATCGTAATTTCTTTGCTCTGACTTCTAATGACTCCTGTGCGCTGCACCTTTCCGTTGTATACAACATGACAGTGCAAATTCTCAGAACTTATTTCAAGAAAGGGATGGGGTTTTATGCTGCCCCAAAAAGCATATAATAATAATAATTGCTTACATTTATATAGCGCTTTTCTGGACACTCCACTCAAAGCGCTTTACAGGCAATGGGGACTCCCCTCCACCACCACCACCAATGTGCAGCATCCACTTTTAATGCCTTACATAAATACAATGGCCTGGCTCTAAATGGCTGAGATTTCAAGAGCCCTCCAACATGTGTGTAAGTACAGGTCTCATTTCAGTTGTCATGCTGGAGATCCTGGTAAGTGAAAAGAGATTGCTGTTAGAGGTTTAGCTTGTCCATATGGTGCAGAGGGAAAGCCGCTGCATTGCAGGGCTGTTGTAGTCAGGGAAGCTCGAGGAGTAATCAGGCTTAATAACCCACCAGAGCTGCTGAGATCTGGCAGCAATAAAAGGACCTTGAAAGAGCAGCACTGGCTGTTTTTGTAAAGGAAATTCGGTTCAGTTTATTTGTTATATGCATAAGTGCAATGAAATACTTATTTGTATGTATTCTTCAACAAGAACATATTAAGGAAACACCAAACACAGAACAGCAGCAGCAACAGCGAAATTAAATAACATCATTTCACAATTTTAGCACTAGATATACTGCTATCAATCCAAGAGAACTTCCTACCAGACAGTACTATTTCCATCACATATTAGGTTATGTGTAGTATATTTCCCATTCTATAGCCAAAAATGTTTTTTTTTAATTAGAATGATTGAAGATTGGAGCATGTCACTGCAGTTACACAGAGCTAGCAGGACACTGAAGCCCTGTTGCTTTAGCTGCTTTAAAACTCATGGCTGCACATGTCTGCAGTTCAGAAATAACTCGTCACAGATCCTGCTCTGTGTAGTCAGGCTAATCTGTTAATGTTTCTTGACAAGCTGTCAGATTATACATCAGGATAGTGTTCCTGCACACTTCCAGTAATGCAGAGGGAGAAGAGGCTGTTAGGTTTCTTGTGATAATTGAGCTGTTGATAAATTTGGTCATTTGATTCAGTGCCACATTGATTGCATAGGTATAGTGACTTCAGATGCCTTGGAAACCCAGTGCAGTAATTTTAATCTTTTGTATCAGTGATGGAATAGGAGGTAGCACTGTGTGTTATGGATTGCTGTACTTAATTTCTTAAACACAGGAATAAACTGATTTCATTTTTTTCATTTAAATGTTCTGTTGGCTGTTAAAGTTTTGTATTAGGTTTGCAGTTATTTTCAGAACTACACACATTCAGGACTGTGAGCTAAAATGAAGCCTTTGATATGTAGTGATTCTCATCTATCGATGTTCAACATGCGTAGCTCATACATACAAGAGCTTTTTAGTAAAAGAATAAGGGAGCTAATTCTTAATTGACAAGTTGAGGAGAGACTGCATAAAGTTCTTTTTGGTGGAAAAAGTATGCTTTAACTAGGGTGTTTCTGAAACCAAAATCTTGAGTGTAGAAAAAAGTCTGAAGGAGCAAGCAGATCAATTACATGCTTCAATTAGCACTGGTGATTAAGGACCCAGTTTGAATGAAAACTAGCAGACACAGCAGTCTCTCAGGAGATGAGAACCACTTTTATATATAATACAGCTGAGGGAGGTTTATCAAACCTTTTACTTTGTAAAAAAAATGTTTGAGCACCATTTTGTATTCTTTTGTGGCCATTGTCTAAAATTGATATTTTCCAGATATATCTATGGCATGTATGTAATGTATATACAGTGCTTCACAAAAGTATGCACTCACTTTCCCAAATTGTCCCATTTTGTTTAATTCCAAATGAAGTATCACTTTTTTGTAAAGAAATATTTTTGAAACTTGAATACCTACACAGAACATTGTGCCCTGTTCTGTTTAACTGGTGAGATTTATAGATTACAGTGCATACATTTGTGAACAGTCTGCTTTTATGGTGTAGCACAACTCCAAATATGGTTAGTCTTTCTAAATACAGTTCATCTTTCTGTTTTCCATATTTCAGTATTGTGTTTGTGTGCAGTGTAATTATTCACCACCCATCGGTGGTGATCTGTCATTCAAATGAAACACGTGCTACTAGCTCGATATTATACAGCAATCTGCATGTGTGAATTCACTTGGCTGTCGTGTACTGCCAATTATGAAAGCCTTTGAAATGTCAGATTTTTTTCAGAAATCCTGTAAAGTGGGAAAATGTGTGATGCTGAGCTTTATGTGTTTTCAGGTTTTTCATTTGGTCCCAGTCAATTTATTGATTTTTGTGTTTCCTAGGTATTCACAAAAGCAATATTTTAAGCATAATTAATTGAATTTGCCAGACGTCGTGACTCGGGCTGTGTTTTGCTCTGTTTAAGGCCTTAATTTCAGCTGCTCCCTTACAGCCTAGTGATGTGGTAACTTGTTGTCTCCAGGTTGCCCAGGAAATAAAACATGGCAGAGCAGCAGAGGCAGCGATCCCTGTCCACATCTGGGGAGACTCTCTATCACGTCCTTGGCATCGACAAAAATGCCACACCAGACGACATCAAGAAATCTTACAGGTAAACTGCTTTGCCCCTTTAAACCTGGCTCAGGTGTGCATTTCTTATGCTGTGCCTGGTTCACTTTTACACAAGCTATTGAATGTTGTAAACAAATTCTCTGAGGGCAGGAGGCTGTGAATATTTTCTATTACATTTGTCGATTCTAGACAAATGTGCTTTTTCTGTAAAACCAATAAATAGCTTTTGGTTACTTATTGCGGTATAGTAATTGCTTTCAGTTACTTCAACACCTTGTTTTCTATTATAGTGTAATATGATGCAGTTTAATTGCCATAATTCTTAAGATACAGCAGAATTAATAAACTAATAGATGAATTATTTATTTCCTGGCATTGAGTATTGCGGTTCCTTTTTTGTGGTTTTAGCCTATAATGCACTGGAGGCTTTTCAGTGCTTTTACAGAGTGCTAGGCATATTTCTAACAACTTCTCTAAACAGAATCTCTCCAGCTCCTTCTGCTTGCCCAGCATTCACTTGTAAAGAGCTTAGTGCAGGTTGCATCAAATACATACAGGTCAGGTGACTTTAAGATTATACGTTATTGTTAGTATAACCATCCGGAATGTTAATCTTGTTCTACCCAAGGGATTTAATTTTGTGTTTACAATAAAATGGCAATTTCCTATCAAATTAAAAGGAAGGAGAAATTCTAGTGCAAAAACAAGCGCCTTAAGCACATTTCCTCAAATGTCAACAAGTGTTTTCTTTTGCTTCTTTAGTCTGTCTTTCTGCTTCTTCTTTTTATGAAAATGTGTTTGATCGGTTTTAAAGTGTTGGAAACATGAGAGTAACCTCAGACAAAGTGACCTCAGTACATACTTCTTAAGAGATATATTGCAGACCATTTAATTTTCTCAGTGTAGCATAAAAAAATAGCATAAATTCTTTTATTTTGCTCAGTGTAAATGGCAGTTTATAGATGCATGTTACAACATTTTAAAATAATGCAGTTTTAATGCATAACTAAATTTCTTGTGATGCAGGGTAGATTTAGACTACAGGACAACTAATGCACCTGAAGCTCAGTCTGCTGCCTCAAAAAATCTGTGGCAATTGGGAAAAGGAGAAAAGAATAACCATAATATAAAGCATATGCAGTAAAAGAGCACAAATATTTCTTGCTGCACAGCTGTGCTTTTTTTCTTATTTTAATATTGAATTTGTACTGAAGTCCACAAGAGGGAGACACTGGACTGGTTTGGTAACTGTCCGCCTTGTGTGCCTTTACCTAGAAACAGCAAAAGCTGGAAGTCACATTTTGTTTGTCATTTCATGGCAGTATTAACTCATAAAGTTTTTTTGTTTTTTTTTGTTCAAACTAAGGAAGCTTACTGAGTAAAGCACCAGTATTTGTGTTAAAAAATTGCAGCTATGTCAATACTAATATTGAAACTAATGAATAGTTTCAAAATACTTCCAGCAGTTGTGTTACTAGCCATCTAAACTTCTGGTTATTGCACACACACAAGATCTGTACATGAAAGGTGTAGGGTTTATTTTAAAACATACATGTACCAAAGGTTTCAGCAGTTACTTGGATCCCTGGAGCAAAACTCTCGATTTCCTCTTTCACTTATTTCTGATTTTACCCACGCTTGCACTTAGATTTGACTTTTATGTAATTTTGTGCAGTGGTGGTGAAATAAAAGGGATATGATTTTACACAGGAAACTTGCACTGAAGTATCACCCTGACAAGAATCCAGACAACCCAGAAGCTGCGGAAAAGTTTAAAGAGATCAACAACGCCCATGCGATCCTGAACGACCCCACAAAGCGCAACATCTACGACAAGTACGGCTCTCTGGGGCTGTACGTGGCAGAGCAGTTTGGGGAGGAGAATGTCAATACGTACTTCGTGCTGTCCAGCTGGTGGGCAAAGGTAAGACAAGCCAGGGCCATGCTATTGTCAGCACTCATGCGGTAAATTAAATTGTTCAGTTTAATTGAAGGAGTGGCAGCCAATGTTCACATGTGCGTCTGTGCTCATTCATCAGACTGCAGATCTGGGGTTTTGTTTAAAGATTACAGTTGGGACCAGTTTCACCTATTTGCAGCATTTTCTAAAGAATCAATCATCTCCGGAGAATGCAGAATTTTAAAATCATAGTACATTTCTAAGTGGAATTTGGTCAGGAACAGAATGCTGCTCAAGCTCTACATGGCTTGGCGCCATAGTACCATTCTGACCTTTTATCTTCATATTTCCCCACTTCTCAGCCTTCGTTTGTCTTCCCTCAACTCTTTCAAATCCAGGCTCAAAACCTTCTTTAGAAAGGCTTTTATATAATTGATGTCTGTTTGCCCCTTTCTTCTATTACATTATAAACCCTTCTGTTTATCTGTGATAATTTTATCTCCAGTGTTTGTTGCTGTTTTAATTTTGAACTTTTCTGTAAAACTATTATATAAAATTATTATTATTACAAGTGTGTGGACGACTGTCTGTCACGCTGCAGTAGCCTCTTACAGCGCACCTCGTGCTCTCGCCCTGCAGGCCCTGTTCGTGTTCTGCGGCCTGATAACAGGCTGCTACTTCTGCTGCTGCCTTTGCTGCTGCTGTAACTGCTGCTGTGGGAAGTGTAAACCCAAACCTCCCGAGGGCGAGGAGCACGAGTTCTACGTCTCCCCGGAAGACCTGGAAGCACAGCTACAGTCTGACGAGAGAGGTGAGGTGAAGACCAGGCAGGCTCTGAGCCGCTGACTCCTGCGCTGTGGTCATTCTTTAAAAAGGAACAAGAGCTTTCCCACGAATGAGAGAGAGATTTTAGAGCACCAGGGCTGACTTTTTTACTGGCTCTAATTTACTGTATACTGGCTCTAATAATTTTTGCGGGTGAAGTCCATCCAGCTTTTCTATTCAGCTTCAGTTTATTTTCAGAAAACATCCTTTATATAGCTTTCTTTCTTGCCAAATAAAATAGATTGTAGTAGTGGCCAGGACCATTGTGATATTACATTTCATCACTTCCTTTATTTTGACTCATCTGTTGAGTTATATTTCCCACAGCAAAGTCTTGTTTGAATATTATCTGTCTGAAATCTGGATTCACCTTTTCCCATATATGTAGTCATACTTCAGGCTGGTTGTAATTTTCATATTATTCAATTACTAAACTCTAACATAACACAATGATTTTTCATTGTTTCATCTGTTGCTAATATAGTTGTGTTGCTGATTTTACTCTGTTCTTCTTTTTTGTTGGTTTTCTGACTAGTTTGGCCTTTTTGAATTGTGAATCTTTTAAATAATATATGTTTTTATATCAGATGAGATTTCCATTTTTGATCTTAAAAATCCTCTTGTTAATCGGAAGTCCTTGATTTGTTTCCCTCCTCTTTGAAGAATCACATGATGGGAATGAATATCATATTGGAATGTAATTTGTGAGAGTGTGATTGAACTTTAATGTGTATGTGTTTTGCTGTTGACTGTCACTGATGGTGTTGTATTCATCCCAATGTTCAGATCAGTTCTCGTACGTTTGGTATTAGAATGAGTATGGTTTCCCATAGCACAGGCAGTAGTCCTGTGTTTCTGTATTAATTAAGGGTTTTCCCATGTGACTTGTCAAAGAATTGAAAAGTTTATTTTCCAGAAGAGTAGTCTCTGATGTCTATGACTCAGTCATTAGGGAAGAGAAGATGGACCCCCTTTCACCTTCTTACATCTGTTTGTCCATGACGGAATATTAGATAAATATTTAACTCTATTCACATGACTGACTGTTATTTCAATACAAGCACTCCCCTTTGGCTACATATTTTTTTCTAACTCCAGTAAATTGTGGTCTTTCAAGTGTGGCTTAATTGGAAAGAAATTCGAAGGTTGCCCTGAATGTATCTTCAGATTTTGCAAAGAAGAGACCCTAGAATGCAGTGTATAATTAAGACCTGATATACTTAACACAGTGAAGTTAAATAGCTATATGTGTTAACTGTGACAAAGTTATGCATTTGTCATTGTAAAACTTGAAATTAATACCTTAAAATAAAAGGAAAAATGTTGGTATTGGAAGATAACTAAATTTTTTCTAAGTTCTAATTAAGTTCTTATTGCATAAATGAAATTGTGCGTGATTTACTTTGTATTCCATATTCCCACTGATAAGTCAAGCCTAATAATGCTGTAGTTTTTCATTTTAACACAACACAGGGGTGTTTCTGCAGACTGCTCCTTACCCGAAACCTTGCCTGTGGCTTTTCACTTTCTGCAGATGAGGACAGAGATGTTGTCTTGTCGAGATAACATAGCACGAGAAGTTGTGTAGAAGACAGACGCACTTCACCTTGCCTAACATGTGCCATTTGTTTCTCTCGCAGAGGGAGAGGCCCCAATTGTGATGCAGCCATCCTCAGCCACAGAAACCACTCAGCTGACAGCCGACAGCCACCCTAGCTACCACACCGACACAGGATTTAACTAGATCTCCCTGCCAGGGCCTGTAAATTCAGAGTTTTAACAAGGAAACAAGGGGTCAGTTCAACACTGGAAAGAGAACGTCAAGGGAGAGATGGGGAGAATGAACTTTCACAGACATGTTCTGCCATGGCAGCAACAGACATCAGAATTCATTACAAATTATTTTTTTGCCTCCGATCTCCACTACTCACAATCCTATCCACCTCATGTGAAGTTCTGTAGCATGCACTATTTAATGCAGTTTAGGTAGGTTTTTCATTTTATGTCTTGTCCTAGACGTGTATATATCTATAAATGTGGTTTATTTGCACCACTGTCGATTCACAATTTCATTCAACAGTGCTTTGGAAAATGAAAGTTCTGCATGTCAGCTATTATGCTTTGACATGTCCAAAAAGTAAGTTGAGTAAGTTTTCAATGCATAAAATGTGTCCTTAAATTTTGGAATCAAGAAAGCACAAGGCAGTTTGTGTGTTTCTTCTTGTTAGAAGATGCTGATGATGGTTTGTTCTCTGAAACC